TTGGATGGTGTTGTCCATTATTTCAGCACTCACTAAGCAAAGAGGCGATTAATTGTTCCTTCATTTAGCCTCAATGAAAAGTGCCTCGCATGTCCAACGGCTTCAACAACATGGTGTTATTGCCCAAGATCAAAATAACAAAGTTACTAAGTGCTCCCATCTCTGTTAATCTGCACTGAAATCTTCACTCTTTTAGGTATGCCTACACTGCAGCTCTGAGTGTGTGCCCCAGCTCAGGTAGACACCAACTAGCTCTGCATAAGCTACTGCTCTAAAGGTATCAGTGTGGCAGGAGTAGCACAGGTGGCAGCTAGCTGCCGGAGTACATACCGGGGGAGGGGAGGGTCTGAGTGGCTTTGTACTCAGGCGTCTAACCTGACTACACTGATATTTTTGGCATGGTAGCTCAAGCAGCGTTACTGCAGGTCTGCCTTCCTGAGCTGGGAGGTATGCTGCCACCTGCAGTGAAGAGACACCCTTTAAGTCCCTCCTTTGTCTCCCTCAGGTGCCCACATCAGCAGCACCATTAACTTCAGTGAAAGGTTGTGATGACTCTCCCTGAAGCCTACTAACATTACTTCTTCAGTCACGCTGTTATAACATCCCACCTATTTGGATTTGTCCTGTGGGATCAAATGACTATGCTGCCCTAAGATCTCAGCATGTTCCTTTGCAGTATTCACAACCCTGCTAGCCCACACTGCTTGGGATTTCATTTTAGATTTCCAGCATGATAGACCAATGTGCTGCCTCTGAACCACCAGGCTAGCTCAAGCTTCAGAAATAACAAACCCTATTCAAACTCACTCAGACAAAGAAGGGGTCCTTTTTACCCCCCAAGGTGGTATTAAAATAAGATCTTTTATCTGCAAACAAGTGGCCTTCTTTTCAGAATCTCTGAGCATATGAAGATTCCATGGATTTCAGGGTGATTAGGAGCAGGGCTGGCCCTAGGTTTTTTGCTGCCCCAAGCAAAAAAAATTTTGGCTGCCTCGCCCCCTCCTTTTTGTTGGCTTTTACACATTTGCACTTCGCAATTTTGTTTTGTTTTGGTGACAGAGACAAGATTTCCAGCTCACACGAAGCTCGTTTTCAAGAGTGGGAAACGTACCTTAAATCTCTACTTTATTGTTCTTATAGAAATAGGCTACTTTTTATTTGTGGTTTGAATGCATGAAAAACTATTAACACAAATAGTTTATATTTCCTTAACTAAGTACCAAAAATAGAAGGAAGAACTTGTGCCACATCTAAAACTCAAGCAGTTTATGGCTATACTTAATCAATCTTCAAACCAATTACAATCAGCTAACAATACCACTCTGTTTAAACATACTTGTCAACCAATTATGATAACTATAGCACATAAGACATCTAAACTACATCAATAAATAGTTGTATTGTTAAACTAGATTTGTTTTGGAATGCAGTGGCTCCTTATGTGGCTCTAACACATCTATATTATCAGATAAACTGAGATCAGTGGGTGTGCATGTGCACATTATTTTTGTGTGTCCATCTTTTTAGTAGCCATTGTATATTCAAGTTTATGAGGTGTTAGAGGGAGTGGAGAGTTGTATGTGCCCAATATAGCTATAAATGGCATGAAGCTCGCCTTAGAGACATCAAACACAAAAGTTTACCCAGATCAGCGAAGTTTAATTCTTTAAAGAAATATCTATGAAACAGCATGCATGGTTCATTGAAGAGCGTAGAACAGTTAATATCCTGTGTGTGTGCGCGCGCGGGCGCGCGCTGCATCCTTGTTTGGTTCTACTTCTACTACAAACATGAACAAGAGAAATAAACTAGGAACAGACTTCAAAGGGTCCGTGGGGTTGAGACTGTTGGGGGCTGGGGCCTGCGGGGAGAGGCCAGGGGCTGGGCCAGTGGGCTGAGTGTTTGTAGGTTTGCCAGGTGTCCGGTATTTTCTGATTTTTTTACCAGACAGGAAGCGAAAATACCAGACACATGGCACCCCTAGGCGGAAAGGGGGCATCTTACCTGGGATTTCCATACGATGTAGGCGGAGGGGTGGCTCATGGCTTTGAGTGGAGAGGCTCTCAGAGGATTTAGCGGCCACTGGGGAGGAGCAGGACTAGGAGACGGGGGCAGCCAGCAGGCTCCGGGCCCAGGCGCACATCGTGCCAGTGCTGGCTGCGCAGCCGCGGTATCTCCTGCAACCCTATAAATTGGCAGGGCAGGGCGGGGCAGGCTAGGCATTGCCAGGGGAGAGGAGGAGCAGGGAGGGAGACGGGGGCGGCCAGCAGGCTCCGGGGCGCATTACATCGGCAGCCCCTTTACATCGGCGGGGCGGGGCTAGGCATTGACGGGGGAGGGGCGGAGCAGGAGAGGAGACGGGGCAGCCAGCAGGTTCCGGGGCGCATTGATGGTGCCAGCTAGCTGCGCGCAGCCGTGGTGTTTCCCAGCGTTTCCCAACCATGGCCCTTTAAATTGGCAGGGCAGGGCAGGGCAAGGCATTGCCTGAAACGCCACCCCTGGCAATGTGCCGCCCCAAGCACCTGCCTGATTTGTTGGTGCCTAGAGCCGACCCTGATTAGGAGGTGCTCGTCAAATGTGAAAATTAAACCAAAGTACAATCAACCTCTGCCTAACATATTTGATTCATTACATCTGTCAGAAAGATCGATCTGGATGTAACTGCTTCAGTCTTGCTTAATGTATTTGTACATGGAGAAAAAAATGCTCCAGAAATCACCCCATTAAAATGTTGGCATCTTAATGGAATGTTAGCACTTAAAAGAACACTGCTGTGTTCTGCTTTAGCAGGCTTCAGCAGCACAGTGGTCGGTATCATAATGGCAAGAAGAGACACAATCATTTGCATGATTTTCATATGCTATGCAAAACAGAATTAACCTGAACTATGGAGCTGTGCCCAGCTCATCTGTGATGTAGATACTATCACCACAAACTTGTCACAGAAGCAAGAAACAAGGTATTTAGGCATTATCTGGCTACATACATGATTTGTGAAGTAATTTGCCAGTGCTAAGCTTATGTTTTGAACCCTGCAATAATAAAACTTGTTGCTTATTTAAAAGGCTTAAATATGCAGCAAACCTAGCTAAAAATGGATTTATTTAATGTCACCACAGAATTTCCTCTGAGTATTCCTTTGACACAGCTCTGGATTTCCTTGCTTTTGTGGTCATGTGCATATTACCAATAATCTTTTACAACGTGTATTAGGCAAATCTGGCTGGGGATCTAATATTTCTCATTTTTCCAGAACCTTATCTGCTTTAGAACTGAACAGGTCTTCCCCTTTAAAACAGAAGATCTTCCACTTTTGCTCTTTTCTCAGGTGGAAGTCCTCAAGATATATACATGATGTTTTACAGATATCACAAGGGCTACTTAAAAAAGCCTTTGAATGTGTCAGAGCATTGCCAAATGACGTTTCTTAGAGTGTAGTTAGGATCTACTATACCAAAGTATTACAATAACATTTCTATCATTTGAGAATTTTAATTTATAAAATCTGTGCAGCAACGGTATCACTATGTTTTTCATCGTGTTATAGAAAGGATTGTACCTCCTTTCCCAGGATTTAAAAAAAAAAAAAAAAAAACCCTGCAAAAAAAATGGCATTAGCTCTCCTTCAGAATTGTTTATGAAAAACCCATTTCCACACTCTCACTGGTATTTTTTTTTTTTAAAGGAACTTAACATTGTTCATATTTCTAGAGGAAGTTACTAGAGATGCTGCGGTCAGAAAGATTGTGAAGAATGTTTTTAAACTACTGACTTTCTACCTAATACCTAAAGCTATGAGTTAAAAGTTCTGAGCACTCAACTGAGGTCAGTTCTATGCTGCCCGGACATCTCCCTGGGTCCTGTGAAGGACAGTTAACCTTAACTGGTGTAATAGTGCTCACAATCTGCCTTCTCTCCTCCCACAGTAGCAGCAGTTGGGTACCCTAGGCCCTTTAGAATCGCCCGGCACTGGAGCAATTGCTGCCCTTTGCTTCTTTCCTCCTGTTGATGGACCTACCTGTATCCAAAGTACCATAGGGATTAGGACTCAGTCCCAACCACAGACACAACTCTTGGTCCAACACTGATCATTCACCGAATGCACAGGGCTGTTTGTAACTATTCTATTTATAACATTCCTCTCCACCAGTCAGCCTCTCCCTCCATTCCCACCCCCACCCCTCACACAGAGTGTTGCTGTTTGGTTGGCTCAGCTCTCAAGGGATAACAAAAGGTATGAACTCTCAAGGTAAACTGCCCACAATGAACACTTCCTATATAGCTTCATAATAGCTATGAGGCATGTTTGGTAACTTTTACAACCTTGGTTCTTGACATTTGGGGGTCTTCCTAACGGAGTTGCCTGCCCTGCTCATGTTCAAAGAGACAATGTCCAACCGAGATCCCAGTCTTTACCCCATGGCTTCTCTTCCCAGCTCCGGAAAAATAGTCTAATTCTCTGATACAAAGCGTAGTAGTTACACGAGGACAGTCTCTGTTCTCAAGGAGAGGAAAGGGCTTTACTGCTAAAGTCCATATTTTAGGTTTATATTCCTTGTGTGTGCATCTTTTGAGATTTCTAGAACTTCAGGCATTGCTTATAAAATGTCTTGTGCTGATAGTCTCCATGATATGGGAGGGAGCAACTCCATGCCCCTAGGTGGGGCGGGCCCTGAGTGGCAGGACTTGGAGCAGGAAGCCCTAAGAGCAACCTGGAGCATGGTGCGTATTGCAGGAGCCCTGGGCCCCTTTGAATCGCCTGGCCCCAAAGCAATTGCCCCATTTTTCACCTCCCCTGTCAATGGTCTTGGTGCTGTTCATACTTTGACAGCAGACTAGAACTAGAAGAGCTCACAAAACCAACCCCCAAATTGTGAATGAAACAGCCTTTACTTTGAAGAGCAGAAAGGGGAAGAGGACAGAATACAAACCCACACACAGACACACTTTAAGAATATTTATTGGAGCTTGCATAATAATGACTGGTTATATCTTTTCAGGTAGAGTATCAAGAAAATATGGTTCATTTGGGTGAACGTAAATGGACACATGTGTTCCCTTTTCTGGTGGTATGTATTTAATTGCCTCTACGGTATAACCAACTTGCAAAGGGGTTTGTGTGCATGTGGTTGGTTGATTTTTAAGTTCAGTAAAGTAACATAGCACTTCCTGTTTCAGCCCCCAATTTAGCCACCTATTCCTATATAGCAGAGCATAAAGCATGTGCTAACCATAGTCCTCTGCTTTAATCTCATTGATTTCAGCGGGACCTAACCAAGTAATTAAATGCTTCAGTGAATTGCAACCTCAGTGCTTACATCCTAGTAAACTGAATTCAACTCTCAAGCTTTAGGGCACCATCCATTTGCTGGAAAATGTGTTTTTAAAATGCCCATAAACCATTGCATCTCCACTTGCAGGCAATAGTATTAAAGATATTTTGCACTAAAAGTTAATTCATCAGTCTGCCAGACCCTAGCTGGCAGGCAAGGATAACATGTCTAATGGGAAACCTGGTTGATAAAATTAAATATTTGACATGTCTAACCTTGCGTGACAGGTGTGGCTAGCGCACTCTGCTAATGCTGAGTATTCTAACTGCGGTGAAAATGAATACTATAACCAGACCACTGGAATGTGCCATGATTGTCCCCAGTGCAAACCAGGAGAAGAGCCTTATATGGTAAGTTCAGAGTCTCAGTCTTATGGTAAAACATCACACCTAAGCCTGAAATGAGAAAAAAAAAATGTCCTACAAAAATTAAATCTGGGCTGTTTTTACATTGGCGTAAATTACGAAAATACAGTTTAGTGTCTCTGTGTACTGTTAAACAGAAGTGATTACAGATCTCAGCTATCCACTGGTTGAACCTCTCTAGTCTGACACCCTTGGGACCTGACCCAGTGCCAAGCCAAAGAATGTTCTCAACCCCAGGACGTCAATATTGTCTAGCAGCATTACCTACACTTCCACTGCTTACTGGGCTCTTAGAAGACATTTAGGGGTAAATTAGGACTAACAACAGAATAAAACAACGAGAGCCAAGACTGGTGGCTGTAAACAAACTTTATGGGACTGCGGGAAACTTGGCCACACCCATGAGACGTGGTCCTCCCATTAACTCAAATTATGCTGGACTAGAGAATGCCGGTTTAGAGAGGTCAACCTGTACTACTAATCATACCAGAATAATGATGCTCAGAGGACTGCAGTGCTATTTGAAATCCTTGGATAAAAGATGCTATACAAGTTTAAAGGATTCTTGATTCTCTAAAAAGTATTATTCATTTTTAAAAGATAGACATGATTTGTAGCTGATTTTATATTTGTATTAGAAAAAGAAAGGAAAAACCCAGACTCACCCCCGCACACATGACTGCACTTGCTCAACTTCAAGCCTGTATGGCTACTCATGTGCTTAAATGCTTTCCTGGACTGGGGTCTTACTCTTTTATGCTTCTCTAAACCACAGTCCACAAATAGCAATGTTTTAAAAAATTTCTTATATAAAAAGAACATTTCTTATATAAACCCACAATTTTGCCTGGAGTCTCCTCTTAGTTCCCATATATCAGCTAATCAGCAATTTAAAACCTGACATTGGTGATTTTGTGTGATGAATAGCTTGAAGTGCTTGCTGACACACACACATCTCCCTGCGGAC